ACCTTGATGGCAATGTCATGTACTACACCTGTGTTTTAGAAACAGAAATTTAGAAACCACGAACTACACAGTTACCGGGATGTAAATGGCACAGTGTCTTTACAGTAACATAATTGACCTAAGCTGTACTAAGTTAAATGTAAATTAAATTCTAAATGTGTGGCGGCTGTTCTACACGGTTGCGGTTACTTTATTCCTTGTGGGTTTTCTGTATCATTAACTCAGGTTTCTTTTCTTTTCTTTTTTGGTCTCAGTCTCACCCTATTTAGATTTTAGATTATTTTGGTTAGAGCAAATGCATTTATTACTTTATTTCCAAATCCAAACTTTTCCATAATTCTCTTTGGGGGATGAGAACTCCAATATGTGAATATTCTCTGTGTAGCTCTTTCCTAAGTTGTTCTGTAAAATATGAGGTGTTCTTTTGTTTGTTTTAAGTTCGAAATTGTTAATGGAATTGGCTTTGGGAGGCAGATGTTCAGTGTTTTGAGTTGTGACAGTTTATTTGGATGGTGATGAAAGGACAGTGAATGCTTGAATGTTGAAAAGCATTTTTTTAAAGCAACAATTTGGCAAGTCTCTAGGCATATAAGAACAGGAATTCTAATGCAAGGGGGCAGAATTCAGCTTAGGTCTGGACAGTCTGTCGACCTCAGCATTGCTCATGGGCTCAGTGACTCCCTGGTGGGGGGCTTTCCTGGGCATTGTAGGGTGTTTAACAGCATCCTTGGCCTCTAGCAGGCTAGATGCCACGAGCCCCATTTGTCCCTTCCCCCATGTGACAATCATAAATATCGTTAGATAGTGACAAATGTCTTGGGGGCCAGGGGTAGGATATTAATTGGCTCTGCTTGAGAAGCATGGGTCTACATTGACTGCCTGAGAAACCAGCTAGATGACTAAACACCACCATTGCTCATCAAAAATATCTTTTCTAGTAGCTTTACCAACTGTTTTGCTTGTGTATTCTGTGCCACATAATTCTGTAAACATTAAAAAAGTTTCCTAATTACCATAATGGCTAGGTGGAAGGATAAATTTCTCCACCCTTATCGTCATGCTGAAAAACGTTTCTAAGTTTTCTAAGTGTTAGGTGCCCGTTTGGTCATAGGGGACAGGTGCATATACATTTCCCTACTTGGCATAGTTTTCTAGTTTTTGGCTATGTGGTAATGTCAGTGTCACTTTTGTTCTTTAAGTAGCATCCTTGCTTTTTCCTTTTGGTGAAGGTGATGGGTACCAGATGGTCTCAGGTAAGTCTTGCTGAGAGAAAATGTTTCTGCAAGGACAGATGGGTCAGGTGTGGGCAGCCCTTTTTGGAGTCAGCTCTTTTACTCTTTTAGATATGGGCTTTCATTCATTTAAATAAATGTTTTATCTTAGAAATGACACTTTTTATTTATAATATTAAGCATCTACTTCTGAGAAAAGCCAGAGCTATCTCCTTTTAGGCTTAATTTTCTTTATGAGCTTCCTTGGAACGAAGCTGAGAGCAAATGATACCCTGTTTTTTCAGCTGTAGGGACAGTCATTAAGAAGTTGGGACAAGAGAAGTGGGCATAAGAATAAACTTTGGCTAAGCACAAATGGCTCACGCCTATAATCCTAGTGCACTGGGAGGCCGAGGTGGGAGGATTGCTTAAGCTTAGGAGTTTGAGACCAGCCTGAGCAAAGTGAAACCGCATAACCTAGTTAAAGTAGACAAATTAACAGTATGTTGTGGTAGGCACCTGCAGTCCCAGCTTCTCGGAGTCTGAGGCAAGAGGAGCACTTGAGCCTAGGAGTTTGAAGTTGCTGTGAGCTTGGCTGAAGCTGTGGCCCTCTAGCCTGGACAGCAGACTGAGATTCTATTTAAAAAAAAAAAGAAAAAAGAATAAACTTTCACCGTTCATCCCCTTTAAAGTCTGATGGAAAAGGTGGATTTGTCCTGGGTACCTGGTATTTTCACGTTCTCCAGAGCATCTTGTTAACCTGGCATGGAATGAAATGTGAAGCCATCCGTGGAGAAAGACATGGGTCCCGTTTTCCTTTCTTGTGTTTGGGAACATGCCGGGATGCTGGGCTTACAGGAGAAATGATGTTCCAGGAAACAAAAGGTTCATAGCCCTCACCCTGGCTCTGAGCCGCAGGCTGGCCTCTTTGCTTTGAAACCAGTCCCCTTTGTGAAATGGAGCCATCCTGGGTTCAGCCCTGATAATGGATATGCAAACAGCCAAACACCGTCTGGGGGCACTGCTGGCAGGAGCAGAGGGAGATGGGGAGGTGGTATAGCCACGTTTCCCAGGATCCCAGCATCCTCAACAGCAGCGATCCATCCCTGCACTGCTTAGTAAACTGCACTCCTTTCAGTTTAACCAGGATTTTTGCTCTAGGGAAGAAACCCCCCCCCAAAAAAAAAAAAGAAAAGAAAAGCAACTTCCATCATTCCAGAACTAAGGATGGAAGAACCCAGTTACCTTTACTAACAGTGATTTCTTCAAGAGGCCTGGGAAGCCAAGCAGGGCAGAAGAGGGAGTTACTTGCGGCCGTTACTCTGTCCCTGTTGGTAGTTATTAGCCCAACTGCAGGGTTTCACTGCGTAGCTCTGCTTCACAGCTGTGGCGAAGCCCCGTCATTATGTAAGCGAGCCCCTCTTTTCAGTCGTCTATCAGAGCCTGCTTTTTCCATTTCATCTTTTCTGAAAGCTAACTTAGATTTTTGTGTTTCCAAATATGACCCGAATATGTGCTGTGGCATAAAATCGCACCTCCGAAGTCATCTTCTGGTGACTGTATTCTGGATTTTAGGGGGAGTGAAGGAAGCAGAGAGGGGTTGAGAGGTGGTGTCCTCCACCCTGTAGTTAGATTCCTTCCCCTCTGCTTTGCCTCTCTCATCTTCTTTTAATTAGTGCCGTGCTTAATTACCCCACTGCACTTGCTTGTGTATGCATCATTGCCTTTCCCCCCCAGAAGCCGGACATAGCTCTTACTCTCCGAGTAATGATGGTAATTGCTGGTGGGGCAGACCTGTTCCTCATCCTTCTCGGAGCACATTTCTCATGGCAGGTGTCTAGTTCCTAATTAAGTGCTAATGAGCACGCCTAGTGGACCGTGATGCCGCTGCAAGCTTCTTCAGTTTTATGTCTCACTATTGCCAAGCTCTTAAAAGGTGACAGAGCAAGAATTAGTGTCTTTGGGATGACAGGAAGGTGATTTTATGTGTAAAGAAATTGTTGTTATGATCTCAAGTGGTGAATGAGTAGTTTATAAATACTTTCCAAGAATACTATGAATGCTGCCTGCTCTGACCTCACCCCTGTTTCCATTTTCCCTCTAATTAGAACTATGCTCTCTTTGGAAGAAGGAACGGAAGTTTAAAAAGAAGGTTGGCTTCTAAAGATTTTTTTTTTTAAGTTGGTAGGAGTGGTTGAACATTTGTTGTAAAGTTACAGCAGACACTGATTTCTGGTTTTAAGATGCTATTTTCTTTTACTCTTGAGGGCAGGAAGTGTATTTGAGATTCCATTAAAAAGCAGCAGGCTGGGTGGAAATCACTGAAGATCTGGTGTGAAGATTTAATATATTCATTACACACAGGAGGGTAATAAATAAAACAAGTAATTGAGTCCCAGGGAAGTGAGCACAAATCAGAATCTTAAGAATTTTCTAACATTGCCCCTTAGAAAATGGAGCTTTAATCGTTTTTACTGTCTCATCAAAAGCAACTTTTATGTTGGACAGATGAAATGTGCCAAGTTCCTATTGCAGGGGCCATTTCTTGGGTATTTTTTCATTTCATACAATGTGCTTTTCAGTGCATATGAGAGCGGTGACACTGTTTACTGCGAGCAGACTTAGAACTTCCAGTATGGGCAGAGGCTTGTAAGTGGTGTAGGGGAACAGGCATTAGGGATAGGGTCTTGGGTCATTGTGGTTGGAGTCCCATACAACTACTAAAAAGTACTTTCCTGATCAAGGATCTGAATCTCCATAGATCTCAGTGTTTTCACTGGTGACCTAGAAGGAATGAGTTTAAGGTTTGGAACTCAGGAGAAAGGCCAAGAATGATGGGTTTCATCTCTAAGGTTTCTTCGCCGTCTCCAGCCCTGGGGCCCTCCCACTGTATGGCCATACTCCACTGTATGTAGCAGTGTAATAAAGAGAGCAGATGTAAGGGAAGGGTCCTTCCTGCACTGGCTGCAGTCCTGTCCCATCAGTGGGGAGAGCCCCAGCCACCTATTCAATGCCTTTCAGCCTTTGTTCCTTCTGGCAAATGGGAATATCAGTAATTCCTTGTAGTGCGGAAGAGGGCTTCAAGAAATGAGGACGCACAAGTGCCTGGGTGGTACGTAAGAGACACACAGGTGCTTGTTCTTCCTTTGCTAAAGAAGTATTTCTGTTCACCAAAAATACTACAGATGTTTTGGTTTTGTGTCATCATACCATGGTGGTACGTTAATCCAAGAATGCGGAGGTAAAATGTAGTCACCTGGTAACTGGGGACCAGTTGGGAGGGTGGCATGTCACCTCTCTCCCTCCATGCCCTCATTGTAACCTCCCTGAAATCAGGATGAGTTTTAAAATGTGTGGTGTCTTATTAGATTCAGTGACAGTACTGGATTTTATCCCTTGAGATGCTTAGAGATGGAATTAACTCAGCATGCTTACTAATGTCACCCTTGCCACACTCTCAGGGGGCGACTCATACCAGGGAGTGGCAGTGTAGATGTGAGGATTATATTTTGGGAAGGTGGAAAAAGGGTAACTATGAGGAGATGAAAGCTTTTGATGAACTGAAAGCACTAATTGCATTTTTTCCCCTTTCTTCCCTTTGTCTCTCTGTTCCTTCCGTGTGTGTGTGTGTGTGTGTGTGTGTGTGTGTGTCACACCTGCTATTCTGTGTTCTCCACCTTCTGTCCTGTCCTGTCTGGATTCTGCCTTCACCACCATCACCACCGCTGCCACCATCTCCTCCGCTTCCTCCTCCTCTTCCTCTCCCTCCTGTCCCACCACCACCAACAGCAGCAGCAGTTGCAAGCCCAGCATCTTTCTCACGGCCACGGACCCCCAGTGCCCCTAACGCCTCACCCTTCGGGACTTCAGCCTCCTGGAATCCCGCCCCTCGGGGGTAGTGCTGGCCTTCTCGCGCTGTCTAGTGCTCTGAGTGGGCAGTCTCACTTGGCAATAAAAGATGACAAGAAGCACCACGATGCCGAGCACCACAGAGGTGAGAGGCCGGGCAAGCCAGATTAGGACTTTGTCCTCATAACTCATTCAGTGCTGCAAAGTTGTGTGCATCGCTAAAGAAAGCCCCAACCCATACACAGAGAGCAAACAATGAGATAAGAGGAACTGTCGCAGAGATTTCCACTGAAACACGGGTCACCCTGGAAGTTTGCAGGGTTTGCCGTGGGCATCTGTAGATTTCTCCATCTCGTTAGATGGCAGGCATCTTGACATCTTGGCAACTGCCTAGTTAATGCCAGTGGCCTGTACGATATTATGGAAAACTGTTAACTGCTTAATTGGGTAATTTTCAAAGAAAGTAATGTTGTTAAATGGGGCGAACTAAGAAGTTAAATTTGAAAGTGAATGTGTTCAAATGAAAGGTTTGATAATTGCATCTGTTACTACTTAGTTTCATAGGCTTTAATTCTAGTATGCATTTAATATTGGGCAAAATTGCACTTGACTAATTTTTTGAAGAAAAGTAATTTATTCTGTCAAGAAATAAAAAAAATAGGCTTTGTGTATGGATAAAACTGTAAATCTTATGTTTACAAAATACTGTAATTTTCAGGAAATCACTGTATTAGGAATGTGCAATGACTTATATAAATAAAAGCCATTTTTAAAACTGTTTGGGGCTTGTGTTCTAATTATTCCCCCCTTTTTTTTATTTCTGTTCTTGCCTCTGTGTCTGAACGGGCATGTCTGTGCGTTTCTTGGTAACCTCGGGAGCAGACAGAGAGCCGGGCACAGTAAGTACAAACGCTTGCTGCACACAAACGCCGTCCCCTTCTACCAAAGCATCCCCGTACTGCCTTTCTTTAAACACAGGCACACACACACACACACACACACACTCACTCTCTCTCTCTCCCCCCTTATCGCTCAGTGACCTCGTTTATTTTTTTCTTACACTTTTCCTTTCTTTAATTTTTTTGTTCTCATCTGCCTATTTGCCCCTCTCTTGTTCTTTTTATAAAACTTGCATCAGATGGGGCACGATTTGGAGGCAAAGCTATTTGCTGTGATTCCTTACTTAGAAATACACTTTGGTCTGTATGTGCCCCAGACCTACTTTAAGAATGTTTATTGTTGCATTCTAAGTCCTACTTGCCTGTAGTTTAAAAGAGTATTCACTTTTATATCTTAAATCAGTTTTACAGGCAAGAGATCACAATCTGTATGTGAAGTTGGTTAGTAATGTATTATTTCTACCTAAACCATTCATTATCCGCTGTGAATGCATCTTAGTTGCTAGGTTTCCATTTCTAGTTTTCTTTGTGTAACTGTCCTTGGAGTGTGAACTTGAACTTAAAATTTATTTTAGACCTAAGAACTGAGAGTGGAAATAAGCTCTTAAAAGCAAGGAAATCCAGCGGACAGGGCTATGTGCTTACAGAGTTCATCTCGTCATCAGCCTAAGTCATACCTGTTTTACAAGATGCACATTTAATCTTCCTTGTATTTTACAGTTAGCTATAGGGACACCCTGTATCTGAAATGCGTTTCTGAAACGTTACAGAGCAAACAGAGCAGGCGTCCTCAAACTATGGCCCGCTGAGGACATTTATCCAGCCTGCTGAGTGTTCTTGCCACCGCTGCCTGTCCCGCTTAGCAGCCAACTCGTCCTGGGGCCTGCAGTCCGGCCCTCCAACGAACCATCTGAAGGACAGCGAACTGGCTCCCTGTTTTAAAAGTTTGAGGACCCCTGAAAGAGAGTGAGGCCCCTTGTATCTAGGACTATCTATGGGTTTTGCCTCTTTCCTTCTTTCTGAACATACTATTTTGACTTAGGTTTAGTATGGTAAAAAAACAGGAGTACTAAACGTTAAATCATTCTGATAATTTTTTTGTTACGGCTCAGCACCTGTGGCTCGACCGGCTAAGGTGCCAGCCACATACACCTGAGCTGGCAGGTTCGAATCCAGCCCAGACCCGCCAAACAACAATGATGGCTGCAACCAAAAAATAGCCGGGCGTTGTGGCGGGCGCCTGTGGTCCCAGCTACTTGGGAGGCTGAGGCAGGAGACTCGCTTGAACCCAGGAGTTGGAGGTTGCTGTGAGCTATGATGCCACAGCACTCTACCCAGGGCAACAGCTTGAGGCTCTGTCTCAAAAAAAAACAAAACAATTTGTTACGAGTTTGAGGAAGTTATTAAATCTTTTTAGTTTGAAAAGATTAGGCCTTTTTTACCCTCTTTTGTGAAGAATAGCGGTTACCTATCTTTGAGATAAGTCTTAGCATACTTCATATATGTGGACATAGATAGAAGAGTGGGTAATGGTCATAAGAAGGGGGGGTAGCTAGTCTTTAAATTCTCGAGGTGGAAGTTTTCTATGCAAAATGTTGTGAGCGGATGAAGGGAGTACAGAACAATTATAGCTGGGAAATAGCTGTAGTTTTATAGCTTAGTCACAAAGTACGAACTTAAGCAAACTGGTTTTGATTTATGGAGGTGACTTGGTGTTTCAGCGTCCTCTTTTCTGCTGTGTTCATTTAGCAGAGTGTCAAATTTTTAAAGACCCAACCCAGATCAGAAAACAGCTGGCAGAAAATACTTGCAAAACCAACCCACATTCTTTTGTTTGTTTGTTTGTTTTTAATTTATTGGACTTAACGCTAGCGTTGGGACTCAACTTTTTTCCGTCAGTTACTGCTGTGTTGCCTTAAATGACCATATATTCCCTCAGTGCTTACTGTGTGTAAGGCAGTGTGGGACATACACTTGTAATTAGAGGAGTCAAGCCCTTTCTTTCAGAATTGCAGCAAAGTGACAAAAATACTGGAAGACACAAGGCTCTAGATGGTTTGAACAGAGGCTCCACAGCTTACTGATACCACAGGGTCTAGTCTGTATCTCTGAAATGCCAAAGCATGAATAAGTAGAAGTTTGTGTGCTGAAGCTATTAGAGGCATTTTTCATTTGTGGGTTTTTTTTTTTTTTTTTTTGAGACAGAGTCTATGCTGCCCTTGGTAGTGTGCTGTGGCGTCACAGTTCACAGCAACCTCCAACTCTTGGGCTTAAGTGATTCTCTTGCCTCAGCCTCCCAAGTAGCTGGGACTATAGTTGCCCGCCACACACCCAGCTATTTTTTGTTGTTGTAGTTGTGGTCCTTTGGTAGGCCTGGGCTGGGTTCAAACCTGCCAGCCCTGGTATATGTGGCAAGCATCCTAGCCACTGAGCCTTCATAGGTGTTTCTGAGTGTGTTTAATAACGTCCTGTTTGTATTTTTGACTGAAAAACGTATGCAAGTACTTAATTCATTGGTTTATTCGAGAGGGTGGAGGGAGGGTTATTGTACCCTTAAAGAAGTAAGTACAAAATAGTTTTTGAGTTTTCAGGCAGCTGTGAGTTAGCAGTCAATGAACTTAGCTGTCAAAATGCAGTGAAATTAAGTAGTAGTGGCATGTACCCTTTTGCATATCAAACTTATGGCAACTTTTGATGATCATTTAACTGAGCATTTTCAGAATAAGTACACATAACTATGTTTCCTGGCTAATTACTGCAGAAAACTCCTGGGTGATGATGCAAGATGGGAAGACTATACTAATTATAACCTAAACATTATTAGTCTATGGAGAGGAATTAAATTGTTCTCTGTCTACAAAAGTGGGATTTTGCTGCAGTCATAAAAAATTAAGTAGCTCTTCAAATTTTATGTAAAATTGAGTATGAAAAGCAATAGATAATGAGATGATATGTACTTCTAATACCTAAAATATAGTACTCATCTACTTAATAAAGTGCTTGAATTATAAAGTCCAATTTTTACATGGCAGATAAAATCAGTTAATTGTTCTGTATTGCTATTGTTGTTTTGCCCAGTGAGTGGACAGTTGCTATAGACAGGTGGTTTTTGTTTTGTTTTTTTAGGAGACAGTGTCTTGCTCTATCACTCAGGCTGTAATGCTGTGGCTGATCATAGCTCACTGCAGCCTCATACTTCTAAGCTCAAGAGATTCTCCTACCTCACCCTCCCAAGTTGCTGACTACAGGTGTGCACCACATGCTGAGATAAATTTTTTAATTTTTATAGAGACAGGGTCTCTCTATGTTGCCCAAACTGGTTTTGAACTCCAGGAATCCTCCCACCTTGGCCTTCCAAAGTGCTAGGATTACAGGCATGAGCTACTGTGCCTGGCCCAGGCCAGTGATTTTCAAACCCTTGTGGTCTCAGATCTTTGCACCCCTAAAAATTACTGTGGACCCCAAAGAACTTTTGTTTATCTAGAACTACATATTTTGATACTTACTGGGTTAGAAATAAAACAAATGTTAAAATCACTTAAAGAGCTACTTAATTTAAGTGTTAATAACGTTGGTGAAAAATAACTATTTTCTAACATAGTAGCATTGTTTTGCAGGTCTGCAAATGACTTTAATACCTGGTTTATAAGAGGGTAGTTGGGTTTTTATTAGCTTTTGCATTTAATCTGTTGTGACTCATTGTTTTGGTTGAAATTTAGAAGAAAACCTGACCTTGTAGAGATTTGTCAGGGTCTTAGGGATACTCAAGAGTACTTGGAGAACTCTGAGAACCTCAGTCAGAAATAAGACTCAGGCTTCCTTTTTATTTTTCTTGCTCTTCTTTCTGAGTGGAACATATTTATATCAAGTGCAGAAATCAGAGGCTCATATAAATCCAGAGGGAATGTGGGTATATATGGGTTTTTATCTGTGAGCCTAAAGCTGGCTGATAGTTTGATTAATTTTGTCAGTACAAATAAACAAATAGGGTTTGTTACTTAAAGTCTTTATGGTAGGAGAATAAATGTGCCTTAATATAAGCAACAGAGACTGGGTGCAGTGTCTCATGCCTATAATTATAGAGGATTAAACATCATACTTACTGGGAACCGAAGGTGGGGGATTTCCCTGAGTGCACAGGTTCGAAATCAGCCTGAGCAAGAGCGAGACCCTGTCTCTAAAAATAGCTGGGCATTGTGGTGGGTGCCTATAGTCCTAGCTACGCAGGAGGCTGAGGCAAGAGAATCACTTGAGCCCAGGAGTTGGAGGTTACTGTAAGCTATGATGCTACAGCACTCTACTGAGTGTGACAAAGTGAGACTCTGTCTCAAAAAAAAAAAAACCTAGAAAATCAAAGTACATGTGCTATACAATACTGCTTTTGTGACAGATTACATATATGACTGTGGTTCCATAGGATTATAATATATTTTACTATACCTTTTCTATGTTTTATATGTGTTTAAATACACAAATAACTAAAAAAATACACAAATATTGTGATGCAGCTGCCTGCAGTATTCAGTACGGTGACATTCTACACAGGTCTGTAGCTCAGGAGCCATACCATGCATATAGCCTTGGTGTGCAGTAGGCCATGCCCTCTAGGTTTGTGTAAGCACACTCTGATATTCTCACAATGACAAAATTGCTTAAGGACGCATTTCTCAGAAAGTACTCCTGTTGTTACGTGACACTTGCCTGTACTAAGAATAGTGAAAATATGAAAATTACTTTAAAATTTCTTGTTTCTGAAAGGAACGAATGATATTCCCAGTAACTTTTTAGAGATGGTTTTGCTGTGGTTTTCATAATTTAGCTGTTGTTTTTAAATTAAGATTTGACTTTTTACTAACTCAGAAAAACTTGTTTTCTGAGCAAAGAAATATGAAGTGACCTAGGAAAGGCATTTATTGCTGCAGTAGTATTTAGTAATAAAAGCTTTAGGTATTTCCATTAATTTAAAGATAAACTACATTAACTTTCAGCCACAGGGAATA